GGGGGGGCGGGGGGGAGCTGCTTCCCCAGAATTATCCAAAATCCTGACAAGCAGGAAACACTGGGGGGATTGTAAGCCTTCTTAGAGGCAAGAAAACAGCTATGCAGAAGCACAGATAAAAGGGGAGGGGGGTCGAGAAGAAAGCTGGCCTCCCCAACGTCCCAGCAAGCAGCTTTCCCAAATAGCAAACGGCAAATACTCCTGATTTGAACGTTGATTAACACACATTTCACTGGTGCTCTTTCCACTTCTGACAGAATTTATACCAGCAGTGCCAAACGTAGCCCAGTCTCCCTTCAAAGAGCAGGAGGGGTCTACCAACGTCTCTGGGGATGAGCAGCATCGCTTGGGCCTCTCCCCAGAAGGTAAGCGCCGGACAATTGTAAGGAATTCTAGCCACAGTGGCCGTCTGCCTTGTCCAAATCAGCCCCTTCCAGAGGTTGGATCGCAAAGCCCATAATTCGCGGGGGGTTGATGCTGCTCCCTCACTTGCCTTCTGGAACTGCACCACGAATGACGTCTGTGCAAAATTGGCCCCGAGCTCTCGTTCTCCCCGCGCTGAGTTCACCGATGTTAGATTTGAGGGGACAACTTCCTTGGGCGGGTCCAGCCAGGCAGCTGATGTTTTTCACCCTTGGCAGCACCTGCCCGGCAAGGCCCCGGCTTCCTCGAGGGGGCAGAAGATGGCTCGGGAGGTGGAGACCCAGCTGAAGCAGCAACAGGTAGGACGCCTCCTGGAGCGCCTGGTTCGTGAGCAGCAGCTTTGACAAGATGGCCTCTCCTGCCACCGCGGGCCGGCTATGCGCTTTGGCACCTCAGCTCGCCAGCCAAACCCCCACTTTCTCCCACAGAGAGATTGGCCCTGGGCATCAGGGCAGAGGTTCTGTCCGGGCCCCCCGGAGATGCAGCTGCCGTTACTGCTGCGACGCTCCCCAAGGACGCTGTCAACCTGGCAGCTAAAGGTGAGCGGGGCACGTTCAGAGCCCAGCGGCCTGCCACGGGGTGGTGCTTTCTTGCTTTTTTAAAGGGGTCGAATTTCTGCCGTGGGCATCCACACCTCGTTGGCCTCAGGCGAGGGGGCTCCCCCTTTCCAGCACCACCCCGGCCTGATACCTCCAGCTGAGCCACAGCCCAACTGCTTCAGCTTCAGGTCAGCAGACTGTGGTTAGAGCAAATAGGTCTCCATGTCACGTGGGGACCCGGACACTGGTGCAGGGATGCTCCTTGTGCTGAACCTGCAGGGGTTCTCAACCTCGGTAACTTTGAGCTGGGTGGACTCCAACTCCCAGAATTCCCCAGCCAGCGCTGGCTGGGGA